ATATATATATATATATATATATATATATATATATATATATATATATATATATATATATATATATATATATATATATAAGTTGCAGAAAACCTGTTTTGTTTTGTTTTTTCCAGCGTGATACACAAATACGTTAGTAACTGATGAGAATCAGCAACTATGAGTGGCAATTTGAAATTCAAAACAGTATTTGTACACAGCATGGTGTGTGTGTGTGTGTGTGTGTGTGTGTGTGTGTGTGTGTGTGTGTGTGTGTGTGTGTGTGTGTGTGTGTGTGTGTGTGTGTGTGTGTGTGTGTGTGTGTGTGTGCGTCTTGCACTTCTGTTGTGTGTGTATTCTTCCATCTACGCACATGTATTTGTGTGTGTGTGTGTGTGTGTGTGGGTGTGCATCCTTACAGAGATTTGTACAGACGTGCCCAACAAAATATTTTCCTCGCCGCAGTGGTTGATAGAGCCCTCCAGTTTTCAATAAATATAAACCAAGGAAATCACCAGGAGATGGGAAGGCGAGCAACCCTCCACAATACTCTGATGCATCTGCAATTCAGGCTGGAAGACACTGAGGTCGACTCACCGCGATAGGAATATAGTGTCATAAAATATCTCGCAGCTGAAACTGTCTCTTGCCTGAGCCACCAAGAACCTCACCAGTGTTTGTCGATCAATGTTTGTATCTCGCTCTGGAGTATCTGAACGGTGCTTGTAGGTTTGGGCGCAGACTGCATATCCTTTAAAGATGTGCGTGCCGAATAGAGTTGTCAATACCATAAGCATCAGCCGTGTTTAATAGAACTTTCTCATTAGATCACGAGCTACAACGTAACACAAGTAAGATGATAAGAGAGGATGTTATATCTCTCTATATTGTGTGATTGTTACTTGAATAGTTTTGCCACACATTAGACACCTATTAAAGATACGGGTGTCTTATATGGTAGTCCGTGGTGTTATTATCCACCCACAGTGATTAGCTGTCTCCTCTCGCTACAGTGCGTGTTATGACGGGAGAATTATTACCCAATGAGTATGTATCTTGCTCTGTCGAATGTGAATAAGAGTTGCGGGTTTTGGCGCAGAGAGGAAATTTCTTAAAGTTGGAAATGTCGGCTGCAGTTGTCAATAATGTAAACAACTGTAATACAGTTCACTTATTAAAACAACATGTAGAAGTTGACATTACATTAACCAATTTAAGAATGAAATATATGACTTGAAGATTAAATTAATGCCGTTTGAACGTTTTTAATACTAAAAGAAAAATCCTCCAAAAAATATGGAAGTCAAATACAGTCGTCAAGATTGTCATCATGTGTGTCTTGTTTGGCAGAATTTTCTTCATAAAATAAGGTTACGTCGGCAGACATATAAACCAATGCGATAAGTGTGTATCTCGCTCCGGGGAATATGAATAGTGCTTGAGGGTTTTGGCGCAGATGGAAAATCCCTTAAAGCTGTGGGGGCCGAGGAGAGGAGGGAGGGAGAGAGAGAGAGCTGTCAATGATGTCAGCTTCATCCGTCGAGTTCAACAGAGTTTTCTCGTCAACCTATATGTGTCACACAGCGAGAAATCGAAGCCATTGAGGGGACGATGGAACCTCTAATGGCTCGTTAAAGCGCTGGCTGGAATGAATATTGACCTGCGGTAGAGCCTGAATGCACTATTACTCCCTCGAGGACAAAGGAACGAACAAACAATAGAAGCATCTTGGCTCAGGACGCTCCCATTATTTTAGGTACATTATCCTCGGTTGGATGGGTAAAGTTCACAGTCTTAAGGTTATGCATGGTATATTCAAGAGGGGTTTCCTACTGGTTGGTTACATTATTCTAAGGTCTCCTCTTACTCCATGTTCCAGGAGAACTATTTACTCTTCTCGGTGAACCTTTCTAATACAAACAAAGACATAGACAGACAGACAGATAGACAGATAGACAGGCAGACTGACAGATCTTCCAAATAAACATTCGATCTGATGGTCTATAATATCATCCATCTGCCAGAAAGTCAGACGAGGTAACAAATGATAAAAGAAGGACACTGACAAGAACACGACGTTCTTTCAAGCTTGTCACGTTAAAAGTAGAGCTGTGGGGGAACTTTATACAGCTATACAACTCATATATGACGGGAGCCTTTCTAACTCTACATAGGAACTCCATCCACCTCAGGCAAGTAGGTCCACTGTTAATTATATGCCTGAACACTTCCTCAACTATTCTAGCAGATTGTCTATGGTCGATGATTCTTGAAAACGAATTTAATAAACACTCGTCGACAACATCGTCCACCAAATGGGAAAGTCCGAGATGGGAGCTGAGTCGATAAAATAGCCATACCCCGGAAGGAAATGCTGCCCCAATTTTCTTTCTATCTCTGTTGTTGACTCTACGTGGCCTTTATGCTTGATATAAACCTACTGAATGATGGACAAAAGTACCAACCATCAGCAAGAAGTCCGGATGGTGGTTCTGGATGGCGGACGAATCTTTACAGTGGAAGGGAAGGATTCCTCTTTACACCTGCAGAATTTTGCTATTTGTTGTACCATTTTCCCTTACTCGTTAAACAGTGAGCAGGAAAGAGAGAAACAAAAGTAGATAAAGAAGAGAGAGAGAGAGAGAGAGAGAGAGAGAGAGAGAGAGAGAGAGAGAGAGAGAGAGAGAGAGAGAGAGAGAGAGAGAGAGAGAGAGAGAGAGAGAGAGAGAGAGAGAGAGAAAGAGAGAAACAAAAAGTAGATAGAAGAGAGAGAGAGAGAGAGAGAGAGAGAGAGAGAGAGAGAGAGAGAGAGAGAGAGAGAGAGAGAGAGAGAGAGAGAGAGAGAGAGAGAGAGAGAGAGAGAGAGAGAGAGAGAGAGAGAGATAAAAGTATAAAAAGAAGAGAGAGAAAGAAATAACTATAAAAAGAAGCCAGAAAAACATCTCTAATCTAATAAAAAGCAGAAATAGAAAACTCCATCCTTCTCCACGTCTTTCTTTTGACTCATACTGAAATGTTAATCAAAGAGACTTAGTCAACAAGTTGAAATCCATGTATCACTGACTCTGTTCTCAATTTCTTTCTTTTAATACTCGTATAGAAGCTGTACACCTACGTATTATTCAACTCACTCTCCTGCCTAAGACTATCTCCTAATCTCATTTCATTGCATGCTCATCTTCAAAGGTTTTTTCAGAATAAATGTATAACCCAAAAGTGTAATCTCAAGATAATTTTGAAGACAGTCTATTATGGTTGCATGTCTAAACTGTATACATAACTCATGATATATTCTGAGTTTATGTAAAGAAACAGCCGCCAATATTAAAAGAAACTGAATTAGCCCAAGTGTCTAATTCATTTGTGTCATTACTACCTCTAGCGTTCAGCGTCTGTTTATTTATCGATGTCAGGTGTGTTCTGTGTGTTGACCTTTGTGTGTGTGTGTGTGCAACAGAGAGAGAGAGAGAGAGAGAGAGAGAGAGAGAGAGAGAGAGAGAGAGAGAGAGAGAGAGAGACCATAAATATCCATAATCTTCAAATGTAAATAATCGTCCATAGTTGCTCTTGTCCTAGTGATTTATCAGCGTCAGCAGAGATCAAGGCAAATATTTCACTTACCTGACCTCCTCTGTCACCGAGATTCATGATTCAACAAAGAGGGTGTGCATGTTGGTCGTGTGGTTATGTGAGAGAGAGAGAGAGAGAGAGAGAGAGAGAGAGAGAGAGAGAGAGAGATGATATATTTCGTGTGTACAGTGTATGTAATGGCTTGTGAGAGTGGCTGAAAGGTATATGTAAATGGGTGAAGTGTTTTTGTGTAGACAGTGAGAATTTTGCTCCGATTCTGTTCCCGTCCGTATAACAGATTGGCCTCCCGCCATTCTCAGCTCGACAGAAAGAATTGTCACTATGACCTCCTTAATCCTGAGTCGTGGTGATGCAAGGTTGTCTGTCTTCCAGGCGACGGCGTGGAAGTTGCGGCCATAATGCTCTGCCTCGTTACTCTTCATATGTGTGTGTGTGTGTGTGTGTGTGTGTGTGTGTGTGTGTGTGTGTGTGTGTGTGTGTGTGTGTGTGTGTGTGTGTGTGTGTGTGTGTGTGTGTGTGTGTTTTTTTTTTTTCAGGAAGCTACACGTACTCATAGGTGACTCACTACGCTTGCAGTCGTCCAGGCAAGACATAACACGACCACCGACCTCCTAATATCCAGAGGTCAGGTCCACCGCCACTGCTGCGCCAGGCACAAACACAGGAAGCCGTCAAATATCGGTGATATTTCTTACCAGAGTTCGTGACTGTCGTGCCGAAGCAGTTTACGTGAGTGAGACAAACCGAACCCATTTGTCTTAAGCTTTAATGAAACATTTTCCCTCAGATAACATGTGGGGGTTTTGTCGTGGCCGCGAGCTTTTATTGCCTGTACACATGTGTGAGTTTTGCCAACTTGTGGTGTAGAGTGTGGAAGTGTCCCGCAAGAGGAGTTGAGGAGTTTAAATGCGTTAGGAATTAAAGACGTTTTATATATATATACTGTTTATACTGTATGTGCTTGTTTGTGGCAATATCCCAGGTAGAGGTACTATAAGAGTGTGTGTGTGTGTGTGTGTGTGTGTGTGTGTGTGTGTGTGTGTGTGTGTGTGTGTGTGTGTGTGTGTGTCATCATGCACGCACTGTCAGGGAAGACCTCTTGGAACACCATCAGAATCCCATTAGCTCGCCACTTTGCAGGATGGCCATGAATAAGTGAATGCTTTTGTTTTACTTTCCTCCCACGTGTCCCTTACCCGTGATCACCTGCAGCCCACCGTGAGTAGGTTTCATTATTATTATTATTATTATTATTATTATTATCATTACTTGTCTCTTCTTCACCATCATCATTATCTCTTACTAATTCTATCATCATCATCATCATCATATCCTCCACGTATTCCCCCATTATCGTCTCTCACTCTTACAGGCAACACCATCTCTGAGCATCATCTAGCATCATCCACGTATTCCCCATTATCGTCTCTCACTTACAGGCATCACCATATCTCTGAGATCTCTAGCATCATCATATTCCAGTCTCATTACCATTATCTCTCAACCTAAATCCTCTAACACCATTATCTCCTAACCTAAATCCTCACCATTATCTTCAACCTAACCTCACCATTATCTCTTAACCTAAACCTCACCATTATCTCTTAACCTAAACCTCACCATTATCTCTCAACCTAAACCTCACCATTATCTCTCAACCTAAACCTCACCATTATCTCTCAACCTAAACCTCACCATTATCTCTTAACCTAAACGTGTTAACAGACACTTATAGGAACAAGATATTATTTGGGGGATTATCTTATAGAGGAATTAGATTTAGGGAGAGACGTAAATAAAGAACTAGAGAAAAAGAGAGAGTTAAAGTGAGATAGAGAAAAAGCTCACTTAAAACTGAGAAGGTAAAGTAGAGAGAGAGAGAGAGAGAAGCGGGATTAAACACCAGAATGAAGAAGAAACTAAGAAAAGCGACAAATTGGTTTTTCTTACGCCAAGAAAGTAAGTATACTCACCAAGACCCTACTCGCCTCACACACAGCCGCTACTCCATCCCTCCCCACCCCCTTCCCTCCTGCCATATCACCGCTCCCTTCACTTCCACACACGTAAGATTTAGAGCGGGGGATGAAGGATTATCTCGTGACGTGCTGGAGGAGTGAGACTGACGGGGGTCACAGAAGGAGAACCAAATCCTCCGGTACGGCTCTTACTCCTTATATTCCGTATTTTCCTTTGTTATATTGGGCTGATACTCTTAGGGGTATTTACACCTCACAGCTTGTTTACACTTTCCAAAGAGCTTTTACACATCTCAACGGTATTTACACTTCCAAGGGACATTTATACTATCGGTTGCATTTACACTTCTCAAGGGCCATTTACTTTAAGTATAAGTACTTCAAGCGACGCTCCTAATTACTTGTTCCTAAAAAGTGTGAGTAATTCTTAGTTCTGTACTTGGCAACTCACTCCAGTCTTTCCACTATGACAATACAAATGGCTTATGACAATGAAGTATACATTCCCGATACACAGCAGCCTCCGAGTTCGAATTTCCATTACCTGCGCTGTTGGAGGAGGTGGGAATTACCCGAGCATGGAAAAAAATTGGACCTGCACCATAGGGTTAGGTTAGGTTAGGTTAGGCTAGGTTAGGTTGGGTTAGGTTAAGTTAGGTTCGGGTCCCGGAAATTGTCCAAAAATTTTGTGAGTTCTGAATTCCTCGACCACTGTATCATTGAGTTCAAATATTCCCTCCGCTCTTTCTCTCTCGGCGTTCTAGGCCCACCAACTGCTTAAAGGCGTCTTATATTATCGTGGCCAGAACCGATACACCATTGCTGTGTTGAGGCGGTGAAGAGAAATAGTTCGCTGGATGTACAACAGGTGTGCGCTGCTGGACGATGCTGGATGCTGGACTACACTTCTCCTAGTTTCGTGTGTTTAATCATTAACCGAAGTGGAAATGTGAAAACGAATCCTAATGACTCACTTAACCTGTGGCTCAGATATGGCGGAAAAAATGGCGGAAAAATTGCACTGTGACTCTTCCTTAATCAGATTTGTGTCCTCTCATCTCTACCTTAGACGAGAAAGTTGACGTTACGATGTTGTGAGAGTAAGAACCAGTGTGTCGTCGGAGTCGTAAGTCTTTATCCCAGGTCAAGATTATGAGAGACCCGTTAGAATTTTTTTTCTCCTAAGTGTTCACGTATGAATTAATCTGAAAACAGGGAGGTGAATGAGATCAACTGATTGTTGTATTAGAACGCGGAACCAGATTCAAATTTTAATTATACAACCGTGGATTTAATTTTAGGGTATTTAGGTTAGGTTAAGTTACATTGAGCTAGGATTAATTTCGATTGGTTTACTCTAGCTTAGGTAATTATTTCTAGACACCACGTAAAAAGATAAGTGTCTCAGTTTAAGCATTTTCGCGTTTCTAGAGAAAAAACAAAAACAAAACGAGTCTTGAAATTGGAAGTCCTACTCGACGATTGCCCACCTCACGTCTCCATGTAAACTACCAATACATTAAGGGTACTTGTGGGGAAGGAGGTGTGTTGATGGTATGAATATCTGATTACCAGTTACGTGTATTCAGAGATCGTCCTAACTCTCCCCAAGGATAAAAAAGATTATTTATTTTTTTCGTAGGAGGAGTTTCAAGGCGAGTTTTCATGGTTCTAGTTCATCCTAGTACAAAATGAAGGTCTGACCATAACAGCTTAGGAGAGAGAGAGAGAGAGAGAGAGAGAGAGAGAGAGAGAGAGAGAGAGAGAGAGAGAGAGAGAGAGAGAGAGAGAGAGAGAGAGAGAGAGAGAGAGAGAGAGAGAGAGAGAGAGAGAGAGAGAGAGAGAGAGAGAGAGAGAGAGGTGCTAAGTGAAGATAATGGTTTAATAATAAGATGGTTTAAAATATCATGATAAACCACATTAAGTTTTATGTTTTATCTAAAAAAAAAACTTATTTCGCAGCTCAGATATAAACAACAGAATAGTCTAAACTTCTCGTCTCCACAATATCTGTAAAGAAAGAGGGGGTTTGCGTGTAGCCGACAAGAGTTTCCATAAATGCTTTTCCAATTCCTTTCTCGAGTCTTCCATTTCCCCATTATTTTGGTCACTGTTGGGGAAAATATTTCACTGTAACTAGGATTATTTTTTTTAACTGAATGCCTCAAAATCTTAAAAAAAAAATAGGCCCTGTTGTTCTATTATTGTTCTTAGAATTGTTGGAGATATGTTCATTTAATATGCAATACAAGTTTAGGTTTTCTTATTTTCTGAGTTTCTTGCTGGAAATGTAATCCTGGAACACAATACCTGGGAAATTAAACTGAATACCTCAAAGGCTTTTGTAGAAATTCCGAGTTTTGGTTTCCATATATTGTAAAAAAAAAAAAAAACCAGTACGTGTATTTTTTTTCTCGTCTACACACAAGACACCTGGCAATAAAGACAGAGCTCCCGGTTTCAAATATGAAGCCGGACAGGTTAATGTATTCCTCCGGTTGGCCGAAGTTGGAGACTAACTTTCACTTCTTTGCCCAAACAAGACGCAACAAAAACGCAGAAAGGTACACTGAGGAAAGTTTTTTTTTGAGCGTGTGTGTGTGTGTCTGTGTGTGTGTGTGTGTGTGTGTGTGTGTGTGTGTGTGGGAGGGGGCGTGGGTGAAAGTAACGTAATGTATAGGTGTGGTAAAAACGGTAGTGGTGGATACGATTGGCTGAGTGGATGAGCTACAGTTGATTTTATAGGTGTTGGTGTGAAGAAGTATACTAGCGATATAACGTAGGAAGGGGGAAAAGTGATAGTGGTGACGGCAATTTATTGAGTGTGTGTGGGTGTGTGTGGGTGGGGGGTGGGGGTGAGTAGATGAGAGAGAGAGAGACAGGTAGTGTGTGTGTGTGTGTGTGAGTGTGTGTGTGTGTGTGTGTGTGTTTGTCAAGAATTTCAAAGCTCAAACCTTTAGACAATAGAGGGCTAATGGTCCCTACACTGTTTTAATGCACCACATACTCTCAAACTCATTATCATCAATATAATTCTCATTCCACTTTGTTATCACTCACAGACAGACGCTTCCTAGAGACGTGAATTGAACGTAGCTCTAAAATCACCTCGATAAAAACTGCCATTAAAAAAGTTAAAAGTGAATGTTTGTTCCTTAATCCTTGCCAAACTCATACGCAAACACGCCTGACACGACAACTGATTATAATACTCTCACTCCTTATTATAGGGACGTGATCATTATAGTCTTTTAAAGGAAAATAATGTTCAGGTATTTTTATTTCCCCAATAGTTATAAGATTTATTTGCAGATAAGAAACAGGTAGAATGTCCTTTAATCAATCAGAGAGTCAATCATTCATTCAGTCAGTTAGTTGTCCAATCATTCACTCAGTAACTCATTCATTCATTCATTCAGTCAGTCAGTCAGTCATTCAGTCAGTCAATCACTCAATCGCCCATTCAATCATTCATCCAGGATCGGTATTCATAGATCTGATAAACGCACGAAAAAAAAAAAAATACTGACCGTCTCTCTGTTCCTCTGTGTGATAAAACGGACTTGGAAATACGAGGTGCATGCTGGTCACCTCCCATCCCACCCCCCCCACCCCTAAAAAAAAACACATCCTAGCCCCATCCCTATCCCACACCCGCCCACTCTTACCCACCCCTCCCTGCCCCCCCTGCCCCCTCCAACCACAACCATGAAAGATGCACCGGGGTCCCTCAGACATAAGCGACGTGCCTGGGACTACAAGCGGAACGAACTAAGACCGGCAAAGGCAAGGAAGTTCTCCACGTCTTGAGACAAGCATAGTTTGTCTGAGGGAGGTATGTGAGGAATGTGGAGAGTGAGCGAAAGAGAAAGAGAGAGAGAGTACAGAAAGAAAAAAATAAAGAGAAAAAGAAAGAAAAAAGAAAAACAGAAGAATGTGTGAGAGAAGAAAGGGACTAAATAAATGAGAGAGAGAAAGAAGGGAAAGGTATGACAGAAGAGAGGGATGGTCTAAAACACAAGAGAGAGAGAGAGAGAGAGAGAGAGAGAGAGAGAGAGAGAGAGAGAGAGAGAGAGAGAGAGAGAGAGAGAGAGAGAGAGAGAGAGAGAGAGAGAGGAACCCTTATTTATTAATCTTATTAGTTACACCTCCTAAATAATATAGAGACAGGCATTAAAGACCATTCTATTCTTTTACCTAAAACGTATAGGGAAATATTGTTAAGTTATGTAAGTGTGTGAGTGCTTGTACCGTACAGGGATGACAGTACGAGACCTTGTATATATCTACGTTACTGTGTTTTTGTGTGTGTGTGTGTGTGTGTGTGTGTGTGTGTGTGAGTGTGTGTTAGTCGAAAAATTTGCGAGTTCTTTTTATATGGAAAAGTGTAGTACCAAAGTTTTAAAACACTAACTACACAATCAGGTATAAATGAAAGGTAAAAGGGTAAAGCAAATCTGTTTTAGCTCCCTCCCTGACACACACAGTAAGTTTCCTCAGACCTCCGCAGTGAAT